TACTTGTGAAAGACCGGGAGAGAGTCACCGGATTTTTTGAGTGCTGAATGTGAGAGGTGTATTAACATCACAGTCGAAGTCGCTCCTGTGTTGCCATTAGCAGTCGAGAGTATGCAGGCGTTGAGAGTGTAGACGTTGTGTGAATGTTCGAGACGAGACTGAGCAGCAACAGCGCAGGAGGGTGAATGATGCTTTCACAAAGATTGCTAAGTGGTCATTACTTGCGTGAGCAAATCACATTCGAAGGTCACCAATGTGGGGGGCGGAGTATTAGACAATACCAACCTTCATCTATCAAAAGGTACCTCGTGATAGAATCAAGTTAGCATGTTTTATATACTAGTGAATGTTGTTCAACTTTTGCAGTGGTAGTTACGCCACAGTACTCTCCCACCTTCTTCCACCATCTTATAAATCTTCCCTTCCAACCTTAAAGTTTAGACATATTTTCATTAAAAATTTATTTAGATTCCGATTTTCGGGAAACTTTAAAATTTTAAATTTTAGTATGTATATTTTTATAATTACGGAATAGTCTAACTCCGATTTATAAATTCGTTTGAAACTGAGTTTATTCCTTTAAAATTAAAATTGCATTTACATTTGATATAGAACTGTCATATTAAGTTAATGACAAAGTTAAAACAAAATTATATTTCTTTAGAAAACCAAATTAATTTCTTTTCAATAAATGAAAAAACTTCCATCACATTTCAATTTTTGAAATCGTATAAAAAGAAATCACGTCACATAAAGTTAGTGTTCACGACCAAGTTAAAACAAAGTAATACTACAAGATATAAACTTCTTTAGAAAATCTAATTCATCTTTTGTGATTATTAAAAATATTTATTAAGTTCTATGAAATTGTGCAATAAAAAATCGAAATCGTTTATCATTACTGATTAAATTGTTATAATTTACAAATACAATTTTATACATAGAATGACAGTTTAGCTGCAAGTATATACTTAAGAAAATAAAATCTCATTTGTTTTGAATAAAAATGTGTCATACATATTAAATGAAGTTTCAAGAATAAAGCATATTTAACAAAAATACAGCATAATTCTATGAAAAACTTCAGTATATCTTTCTAATTAATCAAAATCAAGCTTGCGATAGGCTTACGGAGTGTAAAATAAATTAAAGCTTCTTTAATTAAGGAAACAAATGAGTTAAGATAAACAAAACCTGTTCGAGATTAATTTTTAGAAAATCTAGAATATTCTTTTATCAAATAAATTTATCCAAATACGTGAACTGTGAGAGAATAACAAGCTGTAAAATTTCCTACCACAGCCAAATACTTTCAAGAATTGTTTGAAATTTCCCGAATTGAAGCAAATGTATTTGTAGCGAAAACTAAAGGGATCTTTTGGGAGGGGGATAGTGTAGAGGCAGATAATTTTAATTAATCTTCTTCTTCAGTTTTCTATATTTCCTTTTGCCCTCATAGAGTTGATCCAGCAATAGAATAATTAATCAGCAACGCGTTAGAATCAGTAATACTCAACTTCGCTTGTGAACTGCCTGAATTAAATCCGAACGCATATCTTTTCGCAGCTGTAGAAAGTAGAAGGATTTGAATTGGAAATATAATGTGAATAGATTAAGTTATAATGATCTAGATCAGTAATAAAGACTGAATAGAAATCAGTAATAAAGACTGAATAGAAATTGTGTTTCAGAATTTTTACTTTCTTTTAAATTTTTACTTCATTAAAAAAGCTAACTTGGGAGAAAGATATTTTTTTAAACGAGAATTTTTATTTAAATTATTAATAAGTAGTAATTTCACGCAGACATCTTAGTATATTTCTGAATAAGAAGTGAGTATCTAAAAATAAATTCATTTTTAATTACTGTTTTAAAAATTCAAATCATGATTCATGAAATATTAATTGTAGTTTCAGAATTCTAAAAGGCCATTTTCAAACAACTTGTGCTTTCTGGGCATCGTATAGCATAGGTAATAATGAAGTATTGATCTAAAAAACAGCTATCTACAAATTGGAATTTAAAAAACAATTTTCATTCAAAAGTTTAGAATTTCAAATTGGAAATGATCATATATAATTTGAAAAATAATTTTCCTTTTCTGAGAAAAAAAATAAGGGGTACCGTATACCTGATAATAGGGGTACTCTATACCTAATAGAGCTATCCTGTACCCGATACCCAGTTCTACCTTAATTTGTAGGACTTTCAAGAGCACTTATGTCAGATCAAAAGGTAATGATAATAGTTTATTGAAAATTCATTGAAACATTCATATGTCGCATGAAATGTTTTTAGTTAGTCTGATTTCTTTTTAGAATAGAAATTAAATTTAGAATAATTTTTAGAATAGAATTGTAGAGGCTCTGTAGTTACATGAAATGTTGCTTTTTTGAAAATAGTATGCTGTTCTTATAACTGTAGTGTGTTAGCAACAGCTACTTATGACTTGTAGTCAAGTATAGCCTATCTTTAGCCAGAGTCTTATATGTTTGATCTGAAAATGACGCAAAACGTCAATATGGAGAAAGGTCTCAGTTTTGAGAAAGTGAAAAGCGTCTGTTGTCTAATTTTTTTTAATATTTAAAAACTTACTCTAACATTTGGCTATTTTTAAAAAAAAGGTTAATCACTTTTAAAATATTCAAGTTATTTGTACATTCTAAAGAAAAGACAATATACCAAAAGAGAATATATAGTTTAAAACTATAGCTTTGCTTCAATTTTAATGAACTTAAAATGTGACTTTTTTATTTTCTTTGGCTAAAAAGCTTTGAAACACCATGGTAAACATTAAATCATAAATCATTTTACAAGTTGAAATTATCATCTACTATGCACATTGTCCGCCTTATTTTTCCTCAAAAAAGTGCTGCATGATTAATTTTTAAAAGCAAACCAAACATTCTGATTTAAAGAGATATTAATTATTTAATTTTACTTAACAGCTACGTACAATACGTAATTAATGAAAAAACTAGAGTAATGTAAATATACTATGTAATATAATAATAATAAAGTAATGTAATATAATAGTATATAATATAATAGTAATAAAGTAAATATACTATATAATATAATAATAATGTAAATATAAAAAAGTAAAATTATCCCTAAGAAATTTAATTTTATTTAGTATATTTAATTTCCTAAAGAATTTTTCCAAATATTTTACTTTATACGAAATTTTTTTTCATACAAATTTTAAAATTTTCTGGGGGAAGCTTAAGAAACTTCTTGAATTCTTATTTAAATTCAGGTACTTCTAAAAAAATAGAGATAATAAATGAAACAACGACTAATATTGAATTATATTGATAATAAACTTATATGCAAGGAATATTTATAATTTTCAACGTACTTTTTTCTGCTTAAGTAAAATAAACTTTTTTACTAATTTTAAAGGTTTCAGAATATCTTAAATAATAAATTTATCGGGAAAATTATCAGCAATACATAAGTTCATCAGGATTTATGTAATAAATGCATTTCATGTGCATGAAAAAGGCATTTTGTTGCAGAAATATGTATGAAAATACAAGAAAATATTTGAAAAATTAACTTATAGACATATAAAAAAGTTAAAAATGCTTAGTTTAATCTACTTTTTTCTAAAATAATAGAGTGGTTTTTTAAAAAAAAATATCCTGGAATTAAATATTTCAGTTCATTTTTTCTACTAATTTCATTTTGAAAAAAAAATGTAAAATCTATCTACAAGGAGCGAGTGCTAAAAAAGTTCATATAATACTATTATTTTCAAAGGACGAGTGCCTTACAAGTATTTAAAGCACGAATAATTTATATCCTTCAAGTCACGTGATCTATAATTTACAGGTGTTTTTTTTCGGAATTGACAGCGCGTAAGCAATCATATAGATAAAAATGTTATAAAAATTTCAAATATTTATTATTATGACAGGCTTTTCGGTGTCAGAAAGAAGCAGTATACTCCCCAAAAAGGGTTAAATTTAAATATATATATATATATATACTTGCTAGACATTGAAGTTCTTTCATAAAACGACTAAGTCTTNAATATAGAAATTTTCTAAAATGTTAAACTAAATAGTATCTTTACTATATTTATTGTTCACAAAAATTACGAATTGAATAAAAATTGAAATGAAAAGGGCTTAATTTTTTAATAAATAAATCCTAAGATAGTACAAAGATCTATATTTAGTTTTTTAAATAATATTGTTAAGGCAGTGGGGAACTAATAAACAGGGTAAAGTAAATATCAAAATCATAAAAGATTGTATAAATCGCTCGTTCTTATTTCTGTCTAGTACCACATGCCTCATAATCCAATGATAACTGTAAAGCTAATTCCAAACTGAATATCTAAATTAGCTGAATACCAAATCCTAGAAGATAGCACAAATTGATCGTATTATATCTCCTTTTGAAACAGTTCTACAATCAGCATTTTGTACTGACTATGGTAAAGGTAATTGCAAGTGAAGTATTTATAAGATAAATACCTTGTCGTTAAAGATTACATCAAGATTGGTTAAGATTATATAAATTGAAGATTATATCAAGTTAACTCAAAGCTAAGTAGGTTGTTAGACAAATAATATGCAAGCGTAGACAATATCAGTTATTCGTATTGCTCTTAGCTCTGAAACAGTTCCATTAATAGCATTTTTTAATAACAATGGTAAAGTTAATTCCAAACTAAGTACGAAGTTAGATAAATTATATGCCAGCGAGAATTAAATCAGTTAATCGTATTGCTCTTTCCTCTGAAATAGTTCCTCGAACAGCATTTTTTTTGTAACAATGGTATGGTTAATTCCAAGCTAAGTACTTAGTTAGACAAATAGTATATCAGTGAAGATTATATCAGTTAATAGTATTATCCCTACCTCTGAAACAGTTCCACAAATAGCATTTTTTAATAACAATGGTAAGGTTAATTCCAAGTTAAGTATACTTTGTTAGACAAATAATATATCACAGTAGGTAATATCAGTTAATCGTACTGCTCTTACCTCTGAAACAGTTCCACAGTCCGCATTTTGTAATGATATCGGTAAAGTAAACTCCAAGCTGTTATCAATATCGGTTGCACAAGTCATTGGTTTTCCTTTTGCGTAGACTTTTCCTTTAAATAGAGCATTTGTCTGAATGTGAGCCAGCATACGATCTTGCTTGCAATCTACGGACACTGAAAAATGACACATTTATGAGACATAAAAGAAATGTAAAATATATCATAATGGCTCACAATTAGTTTTTGAACATGCAGATGCAAAATAAATCTATAACCTGAAAGCCAAATTATTTAATCCGTGAGATTTCTTAAATTTGCAATACAGAATGGCGAAAATAATTGACTATGGCTATAACCATACATAATCTTATATATCATTTACTGGTAAGCAATCTAATATAATAATTAGCTTCTAATGTTACGAAATATAGTTAATAACAAGTACCCTTTAGTACAAACCTAATTACTGGATGCTTGATAGTAATACAGTAATATGGCAATGAGCACTACATGAATTCGAAATTAGCTTTATTATCTCGTAAGTAATGAAACGTAAAGGACGTAAATTAAAAGCGAATATTAAGAGTTTCTTTATATAGAATGGATTTTTTTTTATTTTAGGAAAATAGTGCAGAAATATCGCATGAACTAAGAAAAAAGATATAATCGAAACTACCAGAATGTGATAAAATTTATACTTCTGGCTCTAGGAATGCCAAAACTTCATCGATTTTTACAGCTGCGCTTCAGTAATGATTTCGGTAAAAGTATTATTATATACGTAATGTTTTTATAATATACGATAAAATTTGGTAAATGTTTTAAAACTATGATGTTGTAATTTTACCATGATACCTTAGAGCATGGGATAAGAAACATTTAATCGGTTAAATTTACTTTACAGTTCTGTATTTTTTTACTAAAAGAGTGGTAATAAGAACTTGAATTTAAATACCAAAATTTTTGGCACCAGAATTATCATAGGGAGGGAAAAATTATCAAATGCAAGGTTCAAATACCGCCTATTTTGGTTTTATTAACCAGAATTGCAATTATGTTTGTCAGAAATGTAATAACTATGCAGTATGGCAATTTTACTAGAATTTTTTTACTAAAGTTGCAACGAAAAACTAAAAAGTAAAAAGAAATATTTTAAGAAAGAAAAACTATTATATAATGATTAAATATGACACAATGGTCTATTCTTTTTGCTTTAGCCAGTTTTTAGCCAACTTTTAGTGTTAGTTATTATTTCAATGTAAAGAAAAAGTGAATTTACGGTATTTTAGAGGAAAAAAAGATGTTTGTATTGCACACATTAAAAATATTTCAAAATTATTTTAAGAGTATTATTCGTTTTACCCTGACTCGAAGTATCTAGTAATAGAACAAGTATAATAAATTCTATTTATTTATCGACAAATTTGAATTTGTTATTACCTACAGTTGAATCCAATGCTTAAATTATTATTTGTGTTTTGTTTAAAAAAATTTAATAATTTATGTAGATAAATAATTTTAAAAAGAATTTTAGATAAATTTATTGAAGATTAATTAAAACAAGATTAATTAAGATTAATTAATTAAAACTAAATTAGAGGCTTATAAATATTTCAAAAATAATATATTTGGAATTTTTATATTTGATTTCTGGCTTCTAAAATCTATAAATAAGCATTTTTGCTCTGTTCAGTATTAACAAAACTCGATTAATTATGTATTGCCAATAAAATCTATATGATAATAAAAATATAAATAAATAATAAAAAGAAATTCGCTACATTAAATGGAAAAAATCCCTGTTTTTCAACGCAAGAAAGTTTATAAAATATGTTTCATTGAAATCTACATTTTTATTGATAGTAGTAAAAAATGAAACAGTCTTGCACTGAAATTTTTATTTATCTGAGTTTTTTTTTAAAAAAATGTCGAGAAATCTTTGAAAACCACAATCACATCTAACACTTCCATAACTCTCCATTTATATATGAAAAAAGGGGAAAATTCTAAAAAGTTTCCCTTCAAACCAAATATTTATCCTGTTTTCCCTGCTCGAAATTCCCTAGAAAAATAGTCCTCACCATCAGAGTTCTGCAATTGATATGCTAATGCCTAAAGCTACCTACAGTTAGTCCTTTAAAGTTTTTAATCAAACATTTCAGCATCGCAGCTTCTCTTAAAACGAAAAAAAAAAACTAATTTAGATTTTTCCTCTATTTCTTTTTCGATTTTTCTCTCTTGATAGAAGTTTTCTTTAATAGTGTGGAAGGATTTGAGAAGTTGCTTTTGCTTCCGTAAAAACTTATTGAATCTTTTTTTTTTCTGATATAAAAAAAATAATAATAAAACTGTAGCAGTAGCGGAAATTAGTTCTCCTGGCACATAAATTATCTTTTCAAAATTATTTTCTTTTTTTCAGTTTTTCTTTTTATCTTGCGAAAGTTTTGTGAAAGACACGAAAATTAAACATAATAAAGTTACAGCTATAACGGGAAGTTGTCAATCAATTTTATTGTTGAAAAGTAATTACGAAGAATATAATCAAAAAAATAACGAAAAATAATAATTTAATTTGAAAAATGAAATAGAATTAAAATTGTGATGACGATGATGTGTTTTGATGTGGTATAATTTTTTTAAACATTCCAGTCTAGCATATTGAATTTATGATAAATTAACTTAAAAATTTATTTTGTAAGAGGAAGTAGAATGAATGTATTTAAATGTGGTAAAACATTTTTAACTCTCAAGTCAAGCTTATTAAATTGTAAAATAAAAAAAACTTCTTACTGATAATGAATGAGTTTTAAAGACAATGTGAATTTTTTTTTTCTTATATTAATGCAGGAAAATACAGGGGATTTAAAAATAAGAATTTTAATTATGCTTAAAACAAATTATTTAATCATATTTTAATTTTTTCTGAAAGAAAGCTAAGGAATATTATACTAAATTCGGCAGACATTATTTTCCCAGGATAAAAAACTTTTATCTTAATAAAAAGATGGAGCACAGATTAGAAGCCTAAACCTAAAATTAATTCTGCTAAATTTCATGAACTTAACCTAATTTGAAAATATAATTAAAAAATATTTTACTTTTATAATCTTTCTTCCTACTTTAGTTTGCAATATTCTGTATTTTGTATATGGCATTTTGTTTAACCTTTTCCAATATCAGTGATATACATTATAATATTAGTTTTTACTTCAAAAAAAAACAATGTTGATCAAATTTAAGTACTCTAAATAACTTTTGTTTCATTTTTAAAACCCATCTTATTTAATGTGCGTTTCATTTCATGAAACATCTGATGAAAAATCGAAGCAAAAAACTCGGTTCGGTTAATTGCATTTTGCTTATGAAAGAAGAAAGTTAATTCACGACTAGTTCAAAAATTCGTTACCAGATTTGTCAACAGATGGCTAGGCTGTTTGGTAAAAACTTTCAAACAACATTTTTCATCATAAATAAGTAAATAACGCAGTGAGAAGACAAGTAGCTAGTCAGTGGCGCCATCTTTTGTCTAACTTTTTATGATTTTAAAATTTGGCTTGAAAACTTGGTCTTGTATACTAAGCAAGCAGCAGAAAAGCGTAGTTTTTTTTTTAATGTCTGGGATCATTTTGGAAGCAGCCGGCATATAATTATACATTAAAAAAACGGAAACTGTATTTATTTTCTACCAAGGTTTTAACAGCTAGAACTTCGACAGCTAATATATAAGAAAAACTTAATATTTTGAGTTCAATATTAACCGAAAGTGATCTTAAAGTTTTCTTTCCTTTTGATAAAGTTCTTCTAAAAATCAAATTACCTTTTTTTCACATTCCGTTGATTTTAATGAGGAATGGAATATAATCAATTTACATAGACAATAATTCTTAGGGTCGTCGGGGTGAAAAGTAAATGATAAATTATCTAAACTTTCTTAACTCATTGTTGATCGGTGACGAGTTAACTCGTCATTGCACTCGCATTATATACTTCAATTTATGAGATCTAGGGTGATATAGAATATTCTTAAGTTTAATTTCATTTTATTCATCATAAATAAAATTAATAGGAGCTTTTTTAGATGTTTTACTTTATTTCTATATTAAATTACAAAATAACAGATGATGACATCACATTGTTTTGAGTAAAATTGTCAAAAAAGTGTTAGGAGTTGCATCACACATTTTGAAACAAAATTCATTTATGTTGAACGTCAATTCCAGAATCATTTCAGTTATGTACACTTGCAACCATGTTGATGTAAATTATTCTTTAATAAAAATAATTAGTTTGCTATTAACGGTAAAATTCTCTAGCAGCATGTTGTTAGAATAAATTAGTGAAGAGCTATAATACCATTATACTTTTTTGCAAAATATAAAACTAAGAATTAAATCCATTGAATTAGGCACAGAAAAAAAATTAACTCTTGTATTACAAGATTGTATTCTTGTATTATTCTTGTATTATTTACCCACTAGGTATCTGTATGAATTTAGAAGAAAAATTTACTAAACTTTTTAACATCTATCTTCTCCAAGTCAGCAGAAAATTCTTCCGAAATTCTGTTCATAGTTTCTGCCACATGTTTCAAATAGTTAGACGAACAATAAAACACAAAAGACGTCAACACTTTTGCTGCGGTTTACCTGAGAGGCTCTCTGGACTCCAGAGTCTGTACCATCAAACTCAGAGACCTCAACAATTAATCGGCCACAGAATGACTGATATGGTACTGAAAACTGAGATAAACTTCGCCAGTGGACGACATAACTTTTTCCAAAGAAAGTATTCCAGCGTGTCCCAACGTCTTTTCTTAGAAAACGTCGATTACTTGGGACACTCTTATTAATGGACTGTCATCGTTCTGCCAGACCAAGAGGTATGTCCTGGCAGAGGCGGTCTTTTCTTACATTCTAAGATTGTCGCCTCTGACGTTCGAAGATAGACGATTCGAATGTTAAAATTGACTCCCTTTTCTTCGCCTAAGCTTTCAGACATCCTTTTACACCAGTGTTAAGAATTCTTTTCTTTTGCAGTGTCAGAGAGGTAATGGTAGGTATTTTACGGCATGTTGAATTGAAGAATCTTCTAGAATAAAATAATCTAGAGAATGCGCATGAAAGTGAAAAATCAAGAGAACCATTTTTCTACTGTTGTTAAAGTTTTGTTGGCCG